ATACCTTCCCTTAAGCATCCTCAAATGCATTTTTCTCCAACAAAGTCTCATTTTTCTGTTTGCAGCCCATTTTTCTATGTCTTAGAAAGAGCAGAAACATCAGCTTTGTTTTCACTTGCAGGCTCCTCCACCACCTTATTGAAGGGCTGTTGAGGCCACATGAGTTCACTGAGGGGCGGGGTTGGGGGAAGGTGCAGTCAGTAACAGTGGACTTCTTCCCAAGTCCCAAGTCACTTCCTGCATGGCTATTGTTGCAAGTGGCTGTTTGCTGGTTTGAAGCTTCATGCTGGGGAAGTGATAGGGCTGTGCCATCAGGCAGGGCATGGGACAAGAGAAAAATCGGATTTCTCCAGTTCTGTTCCCATCCAGCTCCATCACCACTGCTCAGCAGCAAACATTTTTTTCAGAACCTTCCAGAGTCCATCATTGTCAGGAATACTGTGAAGTATGTGTGGCCTATGTCCCAGAAAGAATGGACACTTCCTAAGACATGGAAGGCAAGATAGCACCCAAGTCTAGCCTAGCTTCCTTCCTCCTCTCCTTCCCTCCCTGTCTCTCAAAACATTTGAGCATGCATCAGCCCTGCAGATGTCAAGTTGGCATGTCCGTAGGTGAAAGGACAGCAGACAGGCTGGGAATTGTAATTTGTAGGATTCAGGGCTAAATGCAAACATGACCTCGCTGGGGGCAGAGGATGAAGTCAGTTTCCCTATGAGCCTCCCATGGCACCACACAGCAAGTGGGTAACCCTCAAGAGATTGCAACCTCTGCAGTGTGCCAGGCAGATTGGGCCTGGGCAAGAAGTTCCCACTGAGTTGCCAGCAAATGCCCCACAGGCCTGGGCAGGGATGGCTGTCACCATGCCTCTCCCCCAAGATGCTGCAGGGTGCATGCTCAGTCCTGACCTTCTTGACTAGCATCTATGCCCCTGCGAAGAAATCCATGACATCATCCTGGGAATTAGGGTTGGGAGGTGGAGGCCAGGTACGGTGCAGGCTCCAGGGGCTTCAGAGCAAGGCCTGAACACCTTGCCAGGGTTGTGGTAGGAACCAGGACCACTGAGGATCTGAGGCTCCAGGCCTCCAGCGTGTGCTCATTGACCAATCAGAATCAACTTATCAAAAAGAAATGCAAAGGTAAAATTATCAAGAATTGAAAATGGAGGGCCGGCGCTGTGGCTCACTTGGTTAACCCTCCACCTGCGGCACCAGCATCCCATATGGGTGCTGGATTCTGTCCCAGTTGCTCCTCTTCCAGTCCAGCTCTCTGCTGTGGCCCAGGGAGGCAGTGGAGGATGGCCCAAGTGCTTGGGCCCCTGCACCCGCATGGGAGACCTGGAGGAAGCACCCAGCTCCTGGCTTCAGATCGGTGCAGCTCCAGCCATAACGGCCATTTGGGGGATGAACCAATGAACGGAAGACCTTTCTCTCTCGCTCTCTCTCTCTCACAGTCTAACTCTGTCAAATAAATTAAAAAAAAAAAGAATTGAAGATGGAAGCTGAAGAGCCTTATGCCAAATTGCAGGGTGCCAGGCCCTGAGCAAGGCAGGATGCTTTGAAACACAGGCACCCATGAGACTGCGAAGTCCTGCAGAGGTGATGGTTGGCTCCATTTGAGGCATGAGGGCCCCAACAGCTAAGCCAAAGATGTGGTTAAATTGTTGGCAAATAAATGAGATGGCATAGCTGCATTGAATGTGTGGCTGGGAATCCTTCAGAGAAAGGGGAGCTGGGCACTAGGCTGCCCCAGACTCCTTACTCTGAAAGCAGGTGCTAAATAAGAGAGTAGCAGAGGGTCTAAGACCCCCCCATGCTTTATTGGAATTTGGGGGAGGGAGACCCTACTTCTAGCCTCAGTTTATTCAGCTGCAAGCGAAGAGCCAAAATTGTAAAACTCCTAGTGGTTTATGAATCTTCTGGAAGGGTTTGAAGGGACTTTAGCTTCTTGGAAAGTGGGTCTACCTTAACTGCCATCAAAACTGTGAGTGACCAAGTGCCCTTGACCACAGGACAGGGGTGAGGGGCGAGACTCATGATCCTTAAGGCCCCTTTTTACCCCAAGTTTTTTATTTTGGTTTAAAATGCAGAATTTCCATGCTGCATATTGTGGGGAAATTAATAAGATGCTTGCTTTATTGTTTCTCATCCTACAAGAATAACTTCTTTTCCTTGAAAATATCTAAAATGAACCCCCCACCCAAGACAACAACACACACATCCGGGGGGGAAAAAACCAAGAAAGAGGAAACCTTAGAAAGCAGAAGGAAGGAGATTCTAGTCCAAGTTTTGAAGTTTTTTCCTTAAAAGCCAAAGGAATTTTTACCAAATGAAGAAAATGGCAGTGGATTTGGGGACCCTATATTAGACATCTTGTTAAAAATTTAAAAATTATCTTTATCACTAACATAGACTATATATATTATAGTATTAATATATTGTATATAAATATTTGTATTATATATTATGTATATAATGTGTAACTGCTATGTTCTAGGCACTGTACTAGGAGCTGGGGTACTAAAATAAGAAATGGTCCCCACCTGAAGGACCTAAAATCCTAACAGATGTGTAGCATGGATTCATTTCTGTCATTAACTCATGCTATAACTGGGATTAGATTTTTATTCTCTCAGGGCTTCCACTTTCCCCTGCACCCTGTGAGGTACAGATAATTCTAGTGACGGAACAGAGTGATGAGAACTGCATCCAAGGGCATTGCTCTTACATTTGGAGATGCACCTGGGGTATCTGATCTTAAGGAGCATTTGTAAATAGTTCTAGAAGAAGGCAGGGACATTGGCACTGACACTGGAGGTGGGGAGAGGGTGGTGTCAAGGAGCCCCTTGCAAGGGATGCTGAGGGCACGTTCTGAGAGCCTCACCTGCACCAGGTGAGAGGGACCAGGGCAGAGATCCCCGAGCACAGCTGGAATCTGCTGTGCAGCATTCAGGCGGAGTCACTGTTATCCACTCACACCTGGCGTGGCTGTCACAAGACCATCATGGCCTGCATTTGGAGCCAAGGTGTTCTCTTGCTGTCTGACCCAGAAACTGCTGGGGTGCATTTGCTTGGCTGGGAGCTCGAGGGAAGGGTAGGGCATCATCTTAACTGCCTGTCTGCTCTGTGATTCTTTTTGACGGAATTGATTGTTTTCTTTAATAAAGTTGCTGTACTCCTATACGATGTTGCTCCAACTTTGATTCAGGTTTCATCTGCCATTCTGAAACTCAATGACAACCAAATCTTCAAATTAGGTCATATCTTGCAATTCTCAGTAGAATTACAAAATTTGGTTTATTTGTTGTCTGTCATAGAAATGTGACAGTACCTTATATAAAATATTTTATTAGGAAGTGGGCATTTAGCTGAGTAGTTAAAATGTCAGTTAAAACATTCTGATGTCCCACATCAGAGTCCCTATGTTCAATACTGGGCTCTGCTCTGGATTCCAGCTTCCTGCCAAAGCATATCCTGGGAGGCAACAGGTGATAATGGCTCAAGTACTTGGGTTGGTTCCTGCCACCCACTTGGGAGACCCAGATTGTGTTCTGGTTGCTGGATTCAGCCCAAAATGGCCCCTGTTCTTGTGGGCATCAAGGGAAAACCAGTGGGTGGAAGATCTCTGTCTCTCAAATAACTTTTTAAAAATATGTGTTCATTTTGGTACAAGACATTCACATGTACAAAGGGTCTTAAAAAAGTTCCTGGAAAATGCATATTATTAAAAATGTATGAATTTTAAATTTTTTATTGCATAAAATAAATATTTAATTATGTTTTCTGTGAACTTTTTGGCGTACTCTAGTATATTTCAGAATAGCTAATAGGACTTCGAATGTTCCCAATACAAAAAACTGTTTGAGGTGATATGAAGTGCTAATTACTCTAGTGTGATCATTCCATATTGTCTGCATGTGTTGAAATGTCACAATGTACCACATAAATATATGTAACTATGTGTCAGTAAAAGTAAAAAGAAATTTAAAAAGAAATAGAATAAGAGTCAAATAGTAAGTATGGGAAAAAAATATCAGCCATGCTGGAAATAGAGTATCTGTCTGATATCCAAGTTCTAGACAGTCTATTTTGCATGCTCTCTTTATCACTGGAACAGGGTTTTAGGGTTTTATAAAGGCAAATGCTGAGGAATGCGTTAGGTTTGTCTGTAGGACACTCTGTCCCCTCCTCCCCTGCAAAGAGGGCCATTGGTAATCTGATCCTGACCTATGAGTGGCAAAGCATCAATCGTCACTAATGCTGAGCATCTGAAGGGCCAGCTGTATCCCTGCGAGGGAAGGAAGCAGTCTGGCTGGGAAAACTTCCTAGAAGGCAACAAAGCAGTGGAAAGAGATCTGTTCTGCCTTCTGTGGTCAGGTCTCTTCACTGAACCTCAGTAAAGCAAGACAAGAGCACCAACCATCAGGATGGAATTAAATGAGTTACATTGTATACTAGAGATGATACACACAGAAACTCAGCAGTTGTTCATTGCAGTTACAAGAGGTCTTGACTGCTCTGTCTTTCCACAGCTTTCCCACACACTCAGTCAGTGATGGACACATTGTCATGCTGCTTAAGATTTTGCATGCAGTCTCTCTTATGCTGGTGTGAGAAGCTCTAAATTTATATTTTAAAAAATCAATCATTTTTGCATAATTTACCATTTTTTGTGTGTGAATGTAGATCATTCAGGGTCTCAAGGACATTAGATGTGAATAGCAGTGAGTTCAGCCAAGCTTGCTCTGTGTCTTCTTTGCTGGTTAGAGGGATGAGACCAGTTGAGTTTGCCTTTTGTCTCACCAGCTCTTTGGGTATGGAATATCTCTCTGACTCTCCTGAGGCCTCGGTCTCCCAAGATGATGAAAGACTTGTTAAACCTGGGGCACAACGAGCACACAGGTGCATGGAACTCTGGACCCTGGTCCATTGGAAGCAGAAGGGGATTGATCACTTGCACTCTGCAGCTGCCCAACTCTTGTGTTCTTCATTCTCTTTTGGCAGAACCAGCTTCTCGCAAAAGGCCTGTTCTTTGTGGAGGAGAAGATCAAGATGTGTGAAGGCAAGTAGCAGGCAGCCCTCATAGACGGGGGCCTCCATGACTCAGTCTGTGATGTTTGCACAGCTGAGATGCTTCTGTCCAAAGCTGGCAGACTCCAGACACGTGAGTCACCCGTCTCTTCCTTCTCCAACTTGGTAGTAGCACTACTTTTTGGGTCAGCCACTCATGACCTTACAAATCAGAACTGTGTTTGGAAAATGAAGTGGGATTGGGGTGGAGTTTGTTGGAGACCTTATCAAAGGAAGACTATTCTGAGATATATCCTGGTGCTCACCATTGATGGGATGTTATACTGTGGCTTCTGCCATGATATGCCCCAGGCCATTTCCTATTAGCCTTTGTAATATTTTTTTAAAGATTTTATTTATTTATTTGAGAGGTAGTGTTACAGACAGTGAGAGGGAGAGAGAGAAAGGCCTTCTTTCTCTTGGTTCATTCCCCAGATGGCCACAAAGGCCGGAGCTGTGCCTATCCAAAGCTAGGAGCCAGGAGCTTCCTCCAGGTCTCCCACATGGATGCAGGGGCCCAAGCACTTGGGCCATCTTCCACTGCCCTCCCAGGCCGTAGCAGAGAGCTGGATCGGAACAGGGGTAGCTGGGACTAGAACTGGCACCCATATGGGATACCAGTGCTGCAGGATGAGGGTTAATCTACTGTGCCACAGCGCCGGCCTCCACCTTTGTAATATTTTGGAGGATGATAGAAGACAAAGAAGTCCTCTCCATTTGGGAGACATTAGGTTAATAAGCAGGCACCTGTTTAACAGGGCATGACTTGATAGAAAAAGAGAAATTTCCTCATGTTATGATTTCCAAGTCTGACTGACAGGATAGAAAATAAAGGAATGAAGGTGGAGATGGCTCCGGAGGTGAGAATTGCCCAACCCATGACTGCCAAGTTTCCCTTAGCTGCCTCCAATGTGGGGTCTGCTTGTAGCTTGCCATTTATGTCTTTTGTGATTTTTGCCAAATGACCAGTTTCTCTGAGTCCCAGTTTTATTTATTTATTTATTTATTTATTTAAAAGTCCGAGTTACAGAAAGAGGAAGAGACTGAGAAAAAGAGAGGTCTTTCATTCACTGATTCACTCCCCAGATGGCTTCTTCCGAGTCTCCCACGTGTGTGGCAAGAGCCCAAGTACTTGGGCCATCTTCTGCTTCCTTTCCCAGTCCTCTAGCAGGGAGCTGGATTGGAAGTACAGCAGCCAAGATAAAAAATGGTGCCCATCTGTGATGCCAGCATTTACCTGCTATGCCATAACACTGGCCCCTGTTTGTATTTTTAAAGTAATAAGTAATGAAATGGGCAAGAGGCTGTAGGGAGTATAAAGCACTTAAATGGTGTAACATGATACCTGGCCCACAGTAGGAAGCCTGCTGGTTCCTTCTACTCTTTTCCAGCCTGATGACCTCTGTTTGTAGTCAAATCTGCTTCCAGTCCCATTTTTCCTTCCCATTTCTGGGAAAGACACTAACGTTCTATAAAGTGGCCCCTAGAAACACAAGGCAGAAAGAAACTTGAAAAGCTGACATTAGAAAGTTGCAGTGCTTGACACACAGTAACTACTCATCAAACCGTTGGAGGAATAGAGGCTTGAAACTAACATTTTGGTGTTGGAGACTCTGCTGGATCGGTTGTCTCCCTTGAATATATCTATGCTGTGATTTTTTCAACCTGATAAATACACACTAACCACACCCTCAGCATTTAAAAATAATGATAAAAAGCATATAACATACAATGTACCGTTTTAGCCATTTTACAGTTCTGTAGTGCTAACTATGTTGACATGCCCATGTAACAGATTTCAACCTTATCTTGCAAATCTAAAACTCCATACCTGTCTCCTTCCCCCCAGCCCCTGATAGCTACCATTGCACTTTCTGTTTCCATAGTTGCAACTACTCTAGGTATCTCATATAAGTGGAACTTTACAGTATTTGTCCTACTGGCTGATTTCACACATAAATAAAGTCCTCTAAAGTTCATCCAAATGGTACATAGCATGTGGTAGGGTCCCCCCCCCCTTTTTAAAGCTGAATGATTTTTCATTGCATGGATATACCATTTTCTCTTTTTTTAAAGATTTTATTTAATTTGAGAGGTAAAGTTACAGACAGTGAGAGGGAGAGACAGAAAGAGATCTTCCTTCTGTTGGTTTACTCCCCCAGTTGGCTGCAATGGTCGGAGCTTGGCCAATCCAAAGCCAGGAGCCTGGAGCTTCTTCCTGGTCTCCCACATGGGTGCAGGGAACCAAGGGCTTGGGCCATCTTCTACTGCTTTCCCAGACCACAGCAGAGAGCTGGATTGGAAGTGGAGCAGCTGGGACTAAAGCCGGCACCCACATGGGATGCTGGTGCCGCAGGCGGAGGGTTAACCTACTGCACCACGACATCGGCCCCAGATATACCATTTTCTTTATCCATTCATCTGTCAATGGAAGCCTCTTATTTTGCAGCGACTTGCATTGACTGGGACCTTGGTGGCTCTTCTGATGCTGCCCAGACAAGGGGAGGGAAAGGAAACAATTTCCCTGGCCACATTATTTGTACGTCAGTCATCTGGGGGAGTCACTGCAAGCTCCTGGAAATGTGGAAAAGCAGAGATTCAAATGCCCTTAAAAGGGAAGTTGACTGTCTCACTCATATGATCCTCAATGGAGATGTATTCAGAGTGAAAGCTCAGAAATGGAGACAGAGCGGATGAACAAAGATAGGCCAAGATGCTGCGCCTCTGCTCCACAGCCATGGTCGGAGAGCACCAGGATGGGTGTGCTCCATGGGTTTTCTGTAGCCCCAGAGTTCTGGGTGTCAGGGTCCTGGCTGCACAGTGGGTAGGCATGCAGGGAACCTGTAAGGCACTTCCCCATCTTCAACTTGAACATCTCTGCTTTTTTTGTTTGTTTCAGTGGAACACCAAGAAGGATTTTGTTTGGATAAAAGGATTTTGCAGCTACAAACCCAGTAAAGTTTGGAAATGTAGCAAACTCCACTTTATCAATGTGTTTATTTTTGTATTTACATATTTGTCCACCCTTGCCTGACGGCTGCAGAAAGAACAGATGGCAACTCTTACTCATTCGCTGCTCCCTCGTAGGCAGGAGGTGCTGTGTTCTTTTCAGTGATCTTTCCTGGAGGGTTGGTGACCTTGACCTTGAGGAAGTTTCTTATACCCACCTATATACTTCTGATGATCTCCACTCCTGTGGCACATTAGAGGACAGATTTTATAGGACAGTCATCTACAACCTTCCTTCCAACTCCTTCTATCTTTGTAGGGAGCTGAATCCCCTTCAGGGCTATCTCCGGAAGTAAAGTCCTCTGTTTCCTTTAACTCTTTCCTCCCCAGGGCTACTCTTTGTGTGTGTGTGTGTGTTTGGGTCTTTTCTGACATGCTTCTCTGAATGCTTCTCAGCACCCCCAGGACTTGCCGAAGTTTGCTGCCAGCAATTAGACCCAGGTTCCTGGGAGGCCCCTTGTTGCTGCCAGGTGGAAGGAGTACCTCATGCTAATGTGCTTTCTACCTTGGTATTGAAAGAGAGGAAATAGGCACCAGCATTGACTTGTAAGACTCTCTGTCCTTTAGGTGGGATGGGCCTCTGTCTTGGCTGTGGAAGGCTTAGGAAAATGTCCATCCACAAAGGAGATGGAGAAGCCTTTTCCCATTTGAAGTACATGTTCCAGATGCCAGCCTTCTCTTAGGCTACCAGATGACCTAACTTTTCAGATGCTGCTTTTTTTTTAAAAATTTTTTTTATTTATTTGAAAGGCAGAGTGATAGAGAGGTAGAGAGAGAAAGAGAGACAGAGACAGAGACAGAGACAGAGAGAGAGAGAGAGAGAGAGAGATGGAGATCTTCTATCCACTGGTTCATTTCCCAAATAGCTGTGATGGTCAGGGCTGGGCCAGGTCAAGCCAGGAGCCAAGAACTCCAATGAAGTGCCCATGTGGGTTACAAGGTCCCAAATACTTGGCAATCTTCCTCTGTTTTCCCAGGCAAATTAGCAGGGAGCTGGATGGGAAGCAGAGCAGCCAGGTCTTGAACTGGTACCCTGATATGGCATACTGACATTGCAAGTGGCGGCGTAACCCTCTGTGCCACAGTGCTGGCCCCCAAGATGGGCCTTTTGACTTCACCACCTCCTCTCAGCAGTGAACTTGCATAGCCTACATTTGAAAGAGGATGGTTATTGATTGGTTGAATGATTCAGTAACACATTTGTTGGCTATTTGCTATATCCAGTTATTGTAATAGGTATAGGGGACACAATGGTGAGCAAAACCATCATAGGTATACAGGCCTCATGGTGCTCATAGATGGGTAATGGAGACAGGAGTTAATCAAGTAATCACCAAAAATAAAGTTGTAACCAGGATTAGTACTAAGAATATAATCCATAGTAGAGAGATATGAGCATTTTTCCTGTAGAAGTGAAGTTTGAGCTAAATCTAGAAAGACAATAGAAGTGTGTTAGGTAAAGAGGAGAGAGAAAGAGCAGTCACAGGAGAGGAACTAGCACACACAAAGGCCCTGTGGCAGGAAGGAGGATGACCAACGTGAAAGGCTGAGCTAAGATCTGCATAGTTGGAGCCCAAAGGCTGGAGGGAATACAAAAGAGGATGAACACACAGGGAAACAGCTCCCCCAGGCTGTGTAGTCCAGGTATGGAGTTTTTCTTTACCCTAAGATTTATACCAACTGTGAGGTCCTGCTCCATACCATCTCATATTTGGGTTACATGGGACCTCCCTCCACCCACCAACCCTGGCATCTGCAAAAACCTATACAGTTGGTGTTTGCCATTCATTCATTCATTCAAAGATTATTTTAAAAAGATTTATTTGAGAGGTAGAGTTACAGACAGAGAAAGACAGAGAGAAAGGTCTTCTATCTGCTGGTTCACTCCCCAAATGGCCACAATGGCCAGAGCTGGGCCAATCGAAAGCCAGAAGCCAGGAGTTTCTTCTGGTTCTCCCATGCCTGTGCAGGGGCCCAAGGACTTGGGCCATCTCTACTGCTTTCCCAGTGCCATAGCAGAGAGCTGGATAGGAAGAAGAGCAGCTGGGACATGAACTGGCTCCCACATGGGATGCTAGCGCCACAGGCAGAAGCTTAGCCTATTATGCCACAGCGCCGGCCTCTCATTCAAAGATTCAGTTTATCGGTGTGCTAAGCAGTGGCAATACAGTAGTGAGCAGGAAAGATAGGCCTGTGTACTCAGTCCTGTTCTATTGAGTAGACAGGGAAGTAAATAAGCAATTCCAACAATGTGTAACTAGTGCTTTGCAAGGGAAAGTAGAGGGTACCACGGGTTTGTATTTTCTCCAGTGCATTTCACTCTGACCTTTCCAAACCTGCTCACTGTTGGACCTGCTCACTACTAGTCAGTGCCCTTGTTCTCTCCCCAGCCACTGCTTTTATTGTCCATTAAATTAATCGACAGAAGATGCTAAATGAATCTTTCAAGATTTATTCAGTGGAACTGGCAGTGTTTTGCAAACATGTCTCTGGGCGTCTAATCTTGGCTGACCCAGTTTCTCTGCCTGGGATGAGTGAAGACAATGCCCAATCAGCTCTGTTATCTAGGTCATTAAACAGCCGCTGTGGTGCAGGCTCCTCTGTGCCAGCTGTGTGCCTTTCCTGCAGGTGCAGAGTTCCTTGCACAGCCTTCCGGTGGTGTGGGTGACCTCTGTGCTCTGCGCTGGAGGTGTGCTCTTGGCCGTGGCTCGGGCTTCCTGATCCTAAGTGTGTTAGCACAGAATCAGGAGGTTGGGCCTGTGTTTTGCAGATGGCCTTTTAGACAGTGCTTCTCTCCCAGTTATCTTCTTTCTGCCTCTCTCAACTGACTGCTCAACCTTAGATAGAACCCACGTCTTAGGTAGTATGTAAATGAAACAGTCTGTAATTGTGCACCTGATCTTCCTGGATTAAGGTGGTCAAGAGCATGGCTTTTGGGATCCCATCTATGCTCTGTGACTTTGGGCCGGTTGCTTGGCCTCCCTGAGTCCATAAAATGGGGTAACAAAGTCTATCCATGAGATATGTTATAGATGAGTAGTTTAGCACAGTGCTTGATCGTGTTGGAACCACTCACATGATGATGACCATTATATGATCTTAAGAGTTTGGCTTTCTTTTCTGGATTGCGGCATAGAAAGTCCTATTTGCATATTTTCAACCTGGTCTTTCTACCTGTTATCAGTCCATTTTCTATTGCTGTAACCAAATAACTGAGGCTGGGGTACTTTACAAGGAAATGAAGTTCATTCAGCTCAGTTTTGGAGGCTGTGAGTCCAGGATGGAGCAGCGCCATTGGTTCAGCCTCTGGTGAAGGCCTCCTGGCAGGTGGCATCACAGTGGTGTGCAGAGGAGATCACATGGAGGGAGGAAGGCAGGGAGATCAGGGCTCAATATTGTTCTTTCAAAGTTTTTAAAAATTTACTTATTTTCATTTTATTTGAAAGGCAGAGACAGACCAAGAGATCTATCCCCTGGTTCACTCCACAAATGCCCACAACAACCAGGGCTGAGTCAAGCCAAAGCCAGGAGCTGGGCCTGTGTCTCCCATAGGGGCATAGATGTGTCAAGGACCCAGCTACCTGAACCATCGCCTGCTGCTTCCCAGGGTACTCATTAGCAGGAAGCTGGATCAGAAACAGAGGCGGGACTTGATGCCAGGCACTCCGAACTGGGATGCTGCCAAATGCCTGCCCCCAGGCTCCCTCATTTATAACAGCCCACACTGCAATAAAATAACTCATTAACTCCTCACATGAGACAAGCATTAATCCCTCCTGAGGCACTGTCCCAATGACCTAATCGCCTTCCACCAGGCTCTACCTCTGAAAGGTCCCTCTGCCTGTTAACATTGCCACTGAGGGACCAAACTCCCTACATGTGAACCCTCGAGGGAAAAACCACATCCAAACCATAGCACCCACTCAATCCCACACACTGGAAATGTGCTCTCCCTCTCACCTTCCCCACCCCAATTGCTGTTCCTTGCATTTAGAGTCTTGCTAGTGAGGTGTGAGTTTTGCCAGCTTCCTGAGACCAGGTGTATTTCTGCCCTGAGACTAGCTGGTGCCATTAGCCAGGGATGACCAGCATGCAGTACCACAGCCCTGCGCTCTGGACTTTCACAGCTCCTGGCTGCAAGTTTTCCAGCATGTGCACCTGTGTATTTTATGTGGAACTATCTCTTGGCTGATCCTACAAGTAATGACAAGTGCTTGTCTTTCTTTCTCCCTCCCATCTTTTCGCCCCCATGTAGGTGAAAATCGCATTGAGGTTCTGGCTGAAGTCTGGGACCACTTCTTCACTGAGACTCTCCCCACCCTGCAGGCCATATTTTATCCAGTTCAGGTCAGTCTCATTGGGGGAGTGAGCTCCTGCTGGCCTCAGCAGTCTGCCTTCCTTCTTGGCCTTTGCACCCTGGGGCTCCCCAGTGAAAAGGAAGAGAACCTACAGATTGGATGGTTGAGTTGGTTAAGGGCCTTGGAGATCTTTTGAGGGCCCTCTGGTTCTATATTTAGTACCTCACTTCAGTGATGAGGAGGCCTCACATAACGCACAGTTTGTAGGCTCTTGTTACCCTCTTGGTTTTGAGGATGTTTTTATATTTTTGGAGTGGTTTGTTTTTCTTACTTTCCAGAAGTTTGGGGAGGGAGACGACTTCTTTTCTTTCTCTCTCTGCCCTGCCTCTCTCCCTTATTTATTTATTTGGAAGCACAATTTTAAGCAAGTCTGCTGTTGCTGCCAAAATGTGGGAAAGGAACCTGCTATTTGCTCCATCCGTAAGGGATCCCTGAAGAGGAGAAGCCACATCGACGTGGTACAAAGAGAGCGCTAGGCTAGGAATTGGCCGACTTGGGTTCAAGAGTATGGGTTTGGACAACATCATTTAGTGTGTCTCAGCCCGACTGCATTTGCTGTCTCTCTACGTGAGCACTGAAGTGTAGGACTGGCGGCGTCTCTTCCGCAAACTCGCCCTGTGACTCAACTCTTTGCGCCTCTGCTGGGCTCCACATAGGGTGCATCACTGCGAGGTAGGAGCGGCCGCGGCTTTCCACTGCACATGCTCTTCTTCCTGCGGGCTTAAGGCTTCCTACGCAATAGGGCTTTGTTGCAGTGTAGGGTTCAGAATAGGAACACAGGGCTAGAATTGCCTCCTAGCAGAGGTCAGGGCCTGCGGGGATTGTTTGGACTGAATGATGTGTTAAAGAAATCTAGCATTTCTTAAAATGTAGGTCAGATGTGTTCAGCCTGGGATGCCATGCTGACAGATTGCCTTTAACATTGTCAAGCCTGCCCTTGAGATTTCCAGGAAGACTGGGCAGAAGCCCTGGCCTGCAGCCTGCTGCTCTTCACTGTCCCGTGCTCTATCTACAGGAACACTGCAGCCCCTGTGCCCTTCCCAGCAGCCAGCACAGGGTGCTCTCTTAGGAAGACAGAGCTGAGGTACAGAGGGGCCAGATTCAGCAAATAAAACACCGGAGTGCAGAGTAATACTGAATTTCATATAAACAATGAGTAATGCAATATTTGAGACATTTTATACCCCAAACTATTCAAATGTTGCTGGGCATCCTGTTGTTATTATTTTTTTTAATCAGATATTGCTATTGGAGTGGGTGCTATTTGGGAAGAGAATTCCAGGGTTCAGGTGCTCAGAATGGTTGCAGAATAAAGTGGCTGTTGGGAACTGGGCAGGCACAACCCCAGGACAGTCAGAGGTGGGCAAGGAGGTGTCCCTAAAAGCTCACAGCAGGCCTGCAGCTCTAAGGAAGGCATTCTCCTGATTGGAAAAATTGTAAGATCCAGCGACAACTGATTGTTACTGAACAACAACTGTTGTTCCTGTCACCTGCACGACTCCCAACAGCTGACTTGAATTTTGCTTTGCCACACTCCACCTGGCTGCCTTCTCTCTTTCCATATCAACCCTTGAGGACACCTTGTGCTAACCTTGTTTTATTCAGTTCAGCATAGGTGCTATGAATGAAGGTTGTGCGTAGGGAATGTTAAGAGGAGGTGGGGAGACCATGGCAAACAGGCATCCAAAATGACAGGTGCCATTTTTTTTGCTCTCAGCTGAGCCAGGTCCATGTATTCAGGCTTTATGGGATTGAATGCTGTTAGCTTTTCTCTTTCTTTGTTTAACTAAAGAAACTGGGGGTCCTTTGGCTAACAGGGATGTGAATGTTTTAACTTTCTGGAAGAGACTGTTTGCGAGGCTTGGTGTTGTATTTTTTTTTCCTCCAGGCTAAAACAAGAACAGAAAAGCCAATTCTAGGGCAATATGAATTCCTTCTCTGATTCACTGTGGGCTGAGGCGATGGCAGGCCTGGTGACAAGTCAGTGCCCTGGCAAATGGCCCTGATGGCCCTGTAAGAAAGCAATGATTAGCCTGTATATATGGCAGGTTGGTCTTCACTAGGTATCCACTTGCTGCCACAAATATATTTTTCTGCTGGCTTCAGAGGCCAGATTGTGAATGGGAAAGAGGCCAGTGTGACTTTGGGGACAGGGAGAGGGTCTCGGGATGACACCAGAGGCTGCAGGGGGTTAATAAGATGAATATGGGAGCCAGTTCTAGCATAAATGGTGGTGCCTTGTTGCTGTCCTGGGCCTGGGTCAGCTTCAAACAGAGGAGGCTCTGGGTACGGACTCAATATTCCCCTCTGGTCATTTGTAAGTCCAGGCCTCTCTCCTGAGTGTGCAGTGTTTTACCTTGAGCTTATGTAGTATTTAATCTTAAGCTTAGAAGCCCCAAAGGCAAATTGTTCATCTCCACCAGATAAATACTGTAACTACTCATGCCTGGCCCAAATGCCTGCAGGTATCTCATATGAAGAGGGGGTAGCAACAGAATCTTCCTGGCAGTTGGCTTTGTAATGGATGACTCTTGAGTGTCCCCCATATGCCTGGCATTGGTCCACAAAGGTGTTGGGGTAGCCCCATTGAAGTTGTCTAAGAGGGCCTATGGCCCACATTTTCTTTCTCAGCTTCCTTAAGAAGTCGTCCCCGAGTTAGTCTGAGACAATAGAATGGGAGTGGGAGTGTCAATTGGTGTGGTCTTTTTGAAGGGCAACATGGCAGTGACTTTTTTGTTGTTGTTGTTGTTGCCAGGCAGAGTTAGACAGTGAGAGAGAGACAGAAAGAGAGTTATAGACAGTGAGAGAGAGACAGAGAGAAAGGTCTTCCTTCCATTGGTTCACTCCCCTAATGTCTACATAGCCGGCGCTGCGCCAATCCGAAGCCAGGAGCCAGGTACTTCCTCCCGGTCTCCTATGCAGGTGCAGGGACCTAAGCACTTGGGCCATCCTCCGCTGCCCTCCCGGGCCACAGCAGAGAGCTGGACTGGAAGAGGAGCAACCTGGACTAGTGCCTGGCTCCCCAACCGGGACTAGAACCCGGGGTACTGGTGCCACAGGTGGAGGATTAGCCTAGTGAGCCGCGGCGCCGGCCCAGCAGTGACTTTTTAAAGATGTATTTTGGTCGAGCAATTTTGCTTTGAAAGAGTGGTAATCTGGATATGCTGGTGACAGTGAATGTGTGTATTATAGCATGGTGTGTAGGCCAAAAAGGAAAAAAAGCATCATAGTTGGTGAGATGGCTAATTAAATAGAGTATGCTCCCACTGGGAATATTATACATTTGTACAGAAGAGTGAGGTGGATCAATATGTGTGGCATGAAAAGATGTCCACAGTGTACTAATAACCAGGAAGCAAGCTGCCAAACAGTAGGAAGGGTATAATTTCTGGGTATGCTTAAAGGTTATGTGTGTGATTTCATGGATGCAGAAACTTTCTGGAAAAATCTAGAACATGAATAAAAACCTGTTAAAAATGAGTCCCCAAATGGAGTCTAATAAAAGGTTAGAAGACTGTTTTGTTTCCCTAAAGCCCTTTGTAACGCTTTTAATCTTTGCTTATAAATATCTATTATCTTATGATTTAAACAAACAAACAAACAAAACAAAACAAAACAAAAACCAAACCAACAAAACTGTGTCTGTTTGGAGTGCAGTTGCTGGAGGATGGGAAGTTCCTCTGGATGCCCTGAGAGCCGGGTAGGCAATTCCTGCAAAATGAGTGCAGTGAAGTGATTTGACAGTTGTTGGAGTAGGAAGCCCCTCTTCCCACCAGAATTGCTCTGCAGGAGTAATTTTAGAAGTTCCTTCTTCTCCTTGCCCACCTTGTGTAATTTGAATCGAACAGTGCTATCTCTTCCTTCACTGGAGAGTTGTGAACAGAAGTTGGCCAGGTCCTGTCAGCTTCCAGCATCACCCAGTACCAAAGGGCCTTGGGCCTGCATAGAATAACAGGCCAGTGTCGGTTTCTCCGCATCCCTATCCATCAATCTATCAGACAGAGATAATACCAGCTGCTTGACTTTTTGGAGGTGTAAGCATGAAGCCAAGTAAAAGTGCCTTGTAGTGAAGACAAGTTATTTACAGCGCCCACTGTGATGTTAGCTCCCTTGGTAACTCTTTTAGTGTTTACAGAGAGTACTTGCTGGAGAAATGCATGTGGTACCGCAAAGTGTGGGTGTGGTTATCTCGTGAAATCAGATTACAGGGCCTACATTGTGTATGGCTTTTTTTTTTTTTTTGAAGATTTATTTTATTTATTTGAAAGGCAGAATTGTAAAGAGGGAGAGATAGAGAGTGTGAGGGAGACACACACACACACAGAGAGAAGGAGAGAGAGAGAGAGATCAATCTTCCATCCACTGGTTCACTCTCCATTGGTTTCCTGATGTACGATAGGGCCAAAATATTTAGCAGATGAATGTGGGGAGCTGGGATGGATCTTTCCTTTTGTTTCTCCCCATATTCGTCTGTGACAGCACAGCCCCATCATATATATGTTGTATCATCTTTGGGTCATTTAGACAGGTTGAGTCATGTCTTTTTTAATTTGAAAGGCAGAGAGAGAGGGAAAGACAGACACACACACACATACACACACACAGAAAGAGAGAGAGAGTGATTGATTCGATATGCTGGCCTGCTCTCCAAGTAGATGCAAGAACCGGTCTGGGCCTGGCTGAAGCTAGTCTCAGGAACTTCATTCTGGTATCCCACATGGGCAGCAAGGGTCCAAGCACTCAAGCCATCTTCCACTGCCCTCCCAGGTGCATCAGCAGGAAGCTGGGAATGAAAGCTGGGTAGCCAGGACTAGAACTGGCTTTCCAACATGGGATGCTAACACTGCAAACAGTTAACTCACTGTGCCACAGCTTGGGTCCCACATCTTATCTTGAGCACTGCTTTAGTTCTAGAGGACAGAGGCTGGGTCTTCAACTTTGACAACCCCCACTGGGCCTTGTGATGGAGACACTTCATTGTGACCCATCCTGGGTGCTCCGTGTTGCCCTGAACCCAATGTGATTGGGCCAGTGAGCTCTCACTTAACAGCCTTCCTTCCCTACCCTCCCTTCTCCTCTGCTCTCCAGGGTCAGGAGCTGACCATCCGCCAGATCTCCCTACTGGGCTTCCGAGACCTGGTTCTGTTGAAGGTGAAGCTGGGTGACCTGCTGCTACTGGCCCAGTCCAAGCTGCCCTCGTCCATTGTCCAGATGTTGCTCGTCCTGCAGGTGAGACCGTGGTGGAGACGTGTTCCCAAGGTCAAGGGAGGAAAGCAAAGGAGGAGGAGATTGCCATTGAAAGATGAGGGGGAGAACATCGAATGACCAGAGTGCCTTAGCTTGAAAATGTAGTGTTCCTTAGTTGATTTGTCCGCATTCCTTGATTTATTTGATGTGCATTTACTGAGCACCTGTTAGGTCCCTGGTGCTGAGCTTGGTGCTGGGATTACAGTGGAGCATGAGAGGAACTAGGGCCTTCTTTCAGGCAATGGACACCCATCTCCGGTGATGGCAGGGAGCTACCACTTGCAAGTCACAACCAGGACTTGCAAGACACAACTTTGGCCTTGCATGAGCCAGATGAACTTCTTGAGGCATCACAAGCAGGGACGAAACCACATCAGGCTGCCAAGCCACCACTTTCCTTTGCTTCCTCTTTTCTGCACCTAGTCTACCTTGTTTCCCTCTGATGTGTCCTTTCCCAGCCTTGTCCTCTCTCTCCTGGACTTGGTCTTGCTCTCTCTGCAGAATTGTCCTCAGCACTTTGGCTTGCACATCTGCTTTGGATCAGCATGGTCTCCTGCAGCTCAAGTGCTTCCAGTAACGGATGGCCCAGATGGCTGTCCGGTGTCTCCTGGTTTTAAGACAACAGTAGGGCAATGAGCTAACACAAGGCAGTCTCCGTCTGTGTGCCAGGTAGGAACCCAGGACTTCAAGTGTGTTGTTTTCTTACACAGATAATCCAAGCAGGCACCTTAGGGTGGGCAGTGTTGTTTCTCCCGTGTTGCAGATGTGGAAACTGAAACTGAGGAGCTTCTGTGCTTGCCTGCCATGCCTCGGCTGGTCAGGGGTAGTGAGATTAGAACTCAGCATCTGCTTCTTCCTCCCCAGGGGAAATACTATGATTGGTCCAGCTTGGGCTGCATGGTTCCCCTTGGCTCCATCAGCCTTGACCTTGAACTAGATCAAATAGTACAAGCAAAGCCTTAGTAAGCCCTTCCGATGGGTAGGGCACACAGTTCTCCAAGTACGGGGCCGCTTTCCCAGGCTTGGCCGTTGGTCAGGCTACTGGTGACTCCATGCTACTCTCAGAGCAGGGATGAAATGTCAGGCACTGGGGCCCCCAAGCACCCTCCCTGCCCCAGCACTGTCTCTCCTGGATGGATTCCCCCTTACCTGGCGTCAGAGACCAGGAAGTCTTGCCTAATGGATAAGGATGGGTATGATTGACCAGAATGCCAGGTCAAGTATTATTTCTTATGAGAGGGAAGGGAAGGAGGCAGTTAGAAAAGTCCATGGCAGCTTATGTCTAGGACACCCAAGTAAGAGCTTGGATCCTAAGGGAGGCATCTAGGACATGAGCCCTTTGGGATTGTGCTAGAAGATTGGGAGAGCTGGCCTTTCATGCCCCCAGTTCTGTTTGTAACATTTCAGGGATGGGAAGGTGGTCCTTTGCATTTTCTGCTTGTTCTTTTGCTGGAGGAGACTTGATGGCTTCCTGCAGGTGAGAGCTCACCTGTTGACACAGGAACAGGGGCTGTCTCTGCCAGGTACAACCTGTATCATAGTCTGGTGTCTGGGCCCTGAACCAGACACCCTGACAACCACGAGAAAGCTGTCATCACCCGCCTGGAGCTCCGAACGACAGGGCAGCCCGCTGTCCAGGAGAGTCTTCTTTCACCGGCGCTGGTCCCCTGCTCTCCAGGGCACCTGCAGACTCCTTGGCGATTCCCCACCGAGCTTGGGAAAACTGCTCAAGTTGACAGCCTGGCCTCTTGCCTTCCCAACTTGCCATCCTCACCTGGAGGCCGGCTGCCCTTTCCATGGCTTTCTTGGCCCCTGCCCCAGCAGGACCTCTGTGCTCGCCATTCCCTCTGCTTGGAGCACTGTCTTCCAGGGCCCCTAAGCCTCCTTCCAGTCAAGGCAGATCCTAACATTTTCTCTGCACTTGTGTGCCCTCGACACACACCACAGTCTTTGGCACCAAGTCAAGTGTTAGTGAAACCTTGTCCAGCAGTAGCCTAAGTAGGACTGGCCCCAGGGCCCTGGCCTCCAGTGCCATGTTGGGGACCATCATGCAGGGAAGTCCCTGGTTGTGGCCAGCTTCTGGGGAGTCGGGCCAGGAAACACTCCCTCCTGTGTTTGGTCACTGCTTTTCCCGGTCCACAGCTGAGCGGGAGATTCAGAGGAGCTGGCCGCCCAGCGCCTGTGCTGGTTTGTGAGGGAGCTGGGCTTATGACCCCTTCTTCAGCCCTCATTCTTTCCTACTTGCATGATGATGACTGCCTTCCCCGCTCCAGCCTCCCAGGTACTGTGCAATGCCCTCCTCACCTCTGGGAGGGTCCCACTTGAGTGGGAGCACTTGGCACCCTGGGAATAACTTTGCTGGCCCCTGTTCTCACTCAGGCGCTGTGATGCCCAAAGCTGGGAGTGTGGCAGTCACAAAGGCATCTTTCCCCACTCACAGCCATAGCCTTTGGCTATGCATAGAGCTTTCAGGTAGCACTGCTGGGGGCCATTCCCACTGCAGGAAGTTAGGCCTTTGGACCTGAATTACTCTCCCACAGTGACCTGGGACTGGCTGATGCAAGTACTGAGAAAATACTCCTTTCTCGGGCTTCTTCTTCCCCTTTTCCTTTGTTCTTTGCAGACACCCCTGAACCAACCCTTCCCTTTCCCAGATGCACCAGGGGCTCAAATGCTCCTACCACAGGCTGCATCCTCCTGCCCCCAAGCTGTCACATCCAGAGGCTGGCCAAGAGATTCCAACCAAAGTGAAGATCTGCCTGCTCCCAGCCTGAGCACACAGGTCCTGAGCCATCCGAAGGACGGAGCATTAGAGGGATCTTGGCCAGCCTGGCCGGGTGGGCATTCCGTGCCGAGAGAGCACTCTACTCTTGGCTGAATTCTCTCCCACCGCCGTCTTGATGTACTAAATAATTCCTGGACAAGGGCCCCCATGGTTTTCATTTTGCAGTGGGCTGTACAGATTCCACAGCCAGTGGAGGCTGAGGGCAGCCATGTTCTAGGGGACTCCATGCAGGCTGAGCGTGCAGTGGCCCTTGCTGGGAGACCATCAAGCTCCAACTCATGTGCTCCTTACCTGTTTTCTTCCCACCTGTCACCAAGTCTCTGCCTCTTGTCACGTCTGCTGCTCAGTGCTCGGGAACTACGGGGTACAGAGGTTTGGGGAGAAGCCAGGTGAGAACTGTCAAAGACAGAAATGAGAAGCCAAGTTTCCTGGACTTTGAAGCCAAGTGAAGGTGGTTTTGTGGCTGAAACTGCTCTGCTTTTGAGGCCTGGTGTGGTTCCTGGGGAGCATGAATCAGGCTCCCCCTTTCTCCTGCTGCCGCCGTGGGGACCCCTTCTGTTTGCACTGATGGGAGCGGACCTTCTGGAGCCAGCGGCTTGCTGACTGTTATCCCCAGTGTTCACTTCTCTGAGGTTTCCTCTCAGCCCAAGCAGAATTGGAGGGAGGCCGTGGAGACCTATGTCATGCCTCTGTGCCGTGCGGGGGCTATTAGACCTACTCGCTTTCTCTGCATCTTTTCTCTTCCAGCCCCTCTCCCGCCTCCTTTATTCCTGTCTCTCTCCTACCATCCCCAACCACCCCCTTCTCTGCAGGGTTCAGTGGACAGGGGGCCACCAAAGAGCCTGTGTCCTGGGGAGGGTATGCGTGATCCAGGGTTCCCCAACCTGCACAACTCAGCCTTATCCACTTCTTCATCCCACCATCTCCCCAGCAACTCCCCCCAACACCACAATGCAATGGAGATGTTTCACTGCTTTGGTGGAAACCCATAGATAGAAACCCAAAGATACACTCCGATCTGAGAATGTGATGTGACACAGAGCCCAGTGTTGTCCCTGCTGGTGCCCCTCTCCTTGGCCAGGTGGCCTCTGCTGCCTGGTGGCCCTCGACATGACAGCAGGCCTTCAGGGCCTTTCCCCAGAGCAGCTGAGTTCCCCAGGAGTCTTCTGGTTCCTCTTTGGTTTTGACTGCTGTCATGGGAATGAATGGCTCTCCCTTTGTCCTGCTATTCTGGACCTTTCTGTATTCTTCCCTCCCTCCCCCACCCCTGGCCTGTTAGCAAGTAGAAGGAAGGTGGGCTCAGAGCCAGCTAGGCTGGGCTGCAGTCCAGGGCTATTGCCATTCGCTGGCTGTGTTGTCCCAGGTTGGTTACTTAAGCTATGTGGGTCTTTGTATCCTCATCCGCAGAAGGGTTAGGAGAACAGCCCCTGCTTGGCGGCTAGGAGGCCTCTGTGCATGAGTTCTTGCCAAGTGCCTGTCACTATGAGTGTGGGGTGGGATCTTAGCAGTGAGACCAATCAGAGCTCAAGCTTGGAGCTGGAGCTGGGGCAACCCCAGTCACAGCGCCGTGGCAGGGCCCTGCGGGGGCGGCTGCCGGCACGTTTCCCAGGCACAGTTCCAGTCCCCATGGCCATGATGGCGACCAGGGCTCCAGGCCTCAGCTGCTTGTTCTGACCACGAGGCCGCTGCCTGCTGGCATCGCTGCCTTATACCTCGTAGGAGGGGAATCGGGCTTGGTGGCTGGAGAGCGTGCTGGCTGTGGCGACTTTGGCTGACTTTTGCCTATCACTGATGTTCCTTTCCAGAGTGTTCACGAGCCCACGGGCCCCAGCGAGGGTTACTTGCAGCTGGAGGAGCTGGTGAAGCAGGTGGTTTCTCCCTTTCTCGGCATCAGCGGGGACCGGGGCTTCTCAGGCCCCGCACACACGCTGGGTAAGGAAGGGGCGTGGCCCTCAAGTTGTGATGAGGACCAGGACCCCAGCTATGTTTTGCTGAGCACGGGTTACGTGCTGAGCCCTTTGCTTCTGACATGGGTCAGTGCAAACCTGTGCCTGTTAATCACCACATTCCTGGCCTGTGTCACCGTAACCACCCCCACCCCCACCCCCATGCCACTTGGCGATTCCTCCCCCAGGAACCATGCAGAGCCTCTGGGCAGGTGCTTGTCTGAGCCACATCTTTAATCAGTGGCTTTGATCTTTCTCATGTGCCTGGGACATTAATTTTTCTGTACCTGATGCCAGAGACTGTTTTATTACACCCCCACCCCAGGCCCCGGCTTGAGTGGAAATGCCCTGCCCCCACCCCATGTTGGCTTTCCCTTTGAAAGCAGGCCTGAAGTGGGAAGGCAGCTGTTTGTTGCTGTATGGGAAGGGGAGCCGCTGGCCCGTGGGCCCTATGAGGCCCACAGAATCACATGGTCTGGCCCTGCCAAGGCAACCACAGGCTGGACTTGAAATTCAATACGTCTGTAGCAGGCTCATTTTTAAAGGGATCCCTTTGGATGGCCCGCGAATGATGTTATAAATATCCAAATGGCCCTTGGCAGAAACAAGGTGCCCCACCCCTGCGAGGATGGAGGTGCCGTCAAGGCTTCTGGATTCGGGTCACATCCTGGTGGGGCCTTTTTCGGTGGCTGAGATGTGGGTGTCAGGCTCTGTATTAAGCACTTGGTGAATCTAGAAATGATTCTGTTCCTTCTCTCAGTGGGACTAAGGTCTAGATGTTCTAGAATTGGCTGCATGCTCTAGTACGCAGGTAATAAAAAAAAAAAAGCCTCTGCTAGAGCGCAGTCATGGTAAAAACAGCTTTATGATGCGGCGTGGAATCTAAGCTGCTTCCGGCTCCCATCTGAAACGTGAAGCCTCAGTGTGCGAGAAGTCCGTCTGCTCTATCCCCAGCAGCTGCAAGGGTGCCTGGCAGATGTCTGTTATATAGATGGCAGGCAGCTGGACCCGCAAGGCCCGGCGACGCACACAGCCAAGAGCCAGTGACCTGGGTTTGGAACCCGCAGCCGCCCTTCTTGGTGGAATGCAGTTGTAGCTGAGCTTCAAAGAGGGGGAAGGGGCAGCCTCCAGTGGGGTTCCTGCCCTTCCCCGGGCCTCTGTACCGTACCACAGAAATAAAGGCAGGGCCATTGTCCTGGCATTTTTCACAGCACTGGTCATGTTTCTTTGGAGACACCAGTTTAACCACAGCCACCACAGATCCGAGGGTACTGCCCCTAGCCTGCTGCCACCTGCCAGTTTCTGGCCTCTTCCCTGCCTTGCTCACTCAATCATCCCCTCCCCCGGCCCCCAAAGGAACTGGAAGGAGCCAGGGTTGAATTGACACTGCATGGGCATGGCCGAGGGAGGAGGGGAAGCAGTCCCCTGTCCTCCCCAGCCCTGAGCTGGGTGCTATATTCTGCCGTCTCCGTGGAGCCCACCTTCCTGCTTCCAGCCCGGCCCACAGAGCACTTTAGGGGGTGGGAGTTGGGGGGACATCAGGATGCCAGCAGGCTAGCTGGGCCGAACAGGGGCTTCACCACTGTCCGGGCCTCACACCAGTGCAGAAGGAAGGTAATCCATCTTCCACCTTCATAAGCTTCTGCTTGGCCGAGACCCCAGTCATGGATTAATAAGGGGAAACAAGCAAAAGGTCATCATTGTGGATATTTCAGACACACAGCCAGGAAATGCGCAGTTCCACTTCTAGCATCTTCAACAAAGAACAGGATGTTAGTGGGTTTTTTTTTTTAATATTTATTTTTTATTTGATAGAGTTACAGAGAGAGAGAAGGAAGAGGCAGAGAGAGAGAGAGGTCTTCCATCTGCTGGTTCACTCCCCAGATGGCAACCACAGCTGGAGGTGCACCAATCCAAAACCAGGAGCCAGGAGCCTCTTCCAAGTCTCCCATGTGGGTGCAGGGGCCCAAGCACTTGGGCCATCCTCCACTGCTTTCCCAGGCCACAGCAGAGAGCTGGATGGGAAGTGGAGCAGCCGGGACTCAAACCAGCGCCCATATGGGATGTGGGCACTGTAGGCAGCAGCTTTACCTGCTATGCCACAGCACCAGCCCCATGTTGTTTGTGTTTTATTTAAAGATTTATTTGAAAGGCAGAACCAGAGAGAACGAGAGAGAGAGAGAGAGAGAGAGAGAGAGAGAGAGATCGAGATCGAGATCAAGATCATCCATCTGCTGATTTATTCCCCAGATGGCCACAACAGCCAGAACTGAACCAGGCCAAAACCGGGAGCCAGGAGCATCATCCAGGTCTCCACGTGGGAGGGTGGCAGGAACTCTGCTCCATCCGCTGCTGCATTCCTAGGTGCATTAGCCAGGAGCTGGATCCTAAGTGGGACAGCTGGCACTTGAACCATTGCTCCTGTGGGATGCTGGTGGCCTAGTACATGGCAGCTTAGCCTGTTGTGCCACAATGCTGACCCCAGAAGACATTTTTAGAGGAGTGACAGGACAAACGAAGAAGACTGGGCTCGAGGGGAGGCAACTTGGGGTGCGGCAGCTGACAGGGAAAGCTGCTCTGTTAACGCAGTGTGCTCTGGTGCCGCCGCCATTGCTCAGGCCCCCAAGCTGTCAGCGTTCTCCTTGGCGGAGGGCACAGGATGGATTCTTCTCTCTCTGGCAGTCTGTCCTGCTTTAAGGTCAATAGAGGGAGAGCAGAGAGCTTTCCCACACCTGCTGCTTGATTAGCCTCCAGCACAGCAATCCTGCGGGGTGGGGGGAGCTTCTGCCATCTCCCACACTCCCCTGAGAGGGTCTGGAAGTTTGTTCACGCTAAGCAGAGATCCCTTTTGGCTCCCAGCCAAGAGAGGGCTAACCTGCATTTTTCTCAAATGCTAAAGCTGAGGCCTGAGCTTTTGTTCTTGCATGGAGGGGAGGGAGAAGGGCATTGCCCTGTTTGCACTAATTTTTAAAATTGTGATTATTCCAGCCAACGTGTCCTGAGAGCCTGACCCAGCACTGCAGATGTGTCTGTGAACAAAACTAGAGCTCCCCCTGCCCCCTGGCACACACGCTTCAGTGAGGAAGTCACAAACACAGCAGTGACTCATTTCTGTACAGATGCCCTGAGAGGGGGAATACAGGGACCATGGAGCCCGTGGAGGGAGATGCTATTTAGACTAGGAAATCAGGGAGGGCTCCCTGGAGGAGGTGATGTTTGTGCTGGCAACTGCAGGATGAATACAAGTTAGCTGAGTAAACAAGGGAGAGAAGGGAAGGGAAGGACCTGTGGGAAAATTTGGAGGATGGTGAGTGAGCAAGATCCTTTTAAGAACTGAGGGGTTGGCCGGCGCCGTGGCTCACTAGGCTAATCCTCCACCTTGCGGCGCCGGCACACCAGGTTCTAGTCCCGGTCGGGGCGCCGGATTCTGTCCTGGTTGCCCCTCTTCCAGGCCAGCTCTCTGCTGTGGCCCCGGAGTGCAGTGGAGGATGGCCCAAGTTCTTGGTCCCTGCACCCGCATGGGAGACCGGGAGAAGCACCTGGCTCCTGCCATCAGATAGGCGCGGTGCGCCAGCCGCAGCACACCGGCCGCAGCGCACTGGCTGCGGCGGCCATTGGAGGGTGAACCAACGGCAAAGGAAGACCTTCTCTCTCTCTCTCTCTCTCTCTCTCTCTGTCCACTCTGCCTGTTAAAAAAAAAAAAAAAAAAAAAAAAAAGAACTGAGGGGGTTGCCAAGCAGCCAACAGCAAGGGAAGCCACTGGGTGCAGACCGCATCCTGCACATGCGTGGTGGGCTGATGCTGTGCCATGGAACTGGCCGTGCTGTTCCCATCGTACAGGTCACTGGGCTGCTGTAGCCAGGACTGCTGTCTTTGCTTCCCGCCCTGTTCTGTCTGCAGCCCTGCTCATGTAGAAGGTGACTTAGCTAAAGGCACACAGAGGAGGTGGGGCTGTCCCTCCCAGGGGGACCCCGGGTCGAGCAGCTCATCCCAAACCTCTGAGACTAAAAAGCCACAGTGGCCACCGTGGTGCTCTTCCTGGGGGTGAGCAGGACTCTCTGGTCTCCGGCTGCCCCTCGTGACCAGGGGTCCGACGTGCAGCCCGCCTGTTGGGGAGACACACGGCTGCTGTGAACTGCAGAGCCACCCATCCCAGGGGCGGGGCTCAGCCTTGGCTTCCTCGGGCGGCAGCAGGGGGTGGTCAAGGGCAGCGGAGCCGTGGGCTCCAGAGCTACCTCCTCGAATGCCTGGGTCCCTTCCATCCTCGTGCAGCCCGAGGATGCTCTCTGAGGGTCCTTAAGAAATGTCCCTGGGGCTCTGAGCCAGGGACACGATGCATTGCTAGGGCTCTCTGTGCTGCCTCTGTCTGGGAGGGCTTCCTGCCACCCAGCCTGGCCCTGGATAGGGAGGCTTGCTTCAGAGACACAGGGGGATCATCTGAGGCCCAGGCTGTGTGGGGCCTCACTTTCCTTTCCATTTTGTATTTTAAAATTTATTTATTTTATTTGAAAGTCTGAGTTACACAGAGAGAAGGAGAGACAGAGAAGGAGAGAGAGAGAGAGAGAGAGAGAGAGAGATCGATCTTCCACGCACTGGTTCACTGGTTCTTCAGGGTCTCCCATGTGGGTGCAGGGCCCAAGCACATGGGCCATCTTGCTTTCCCAGGCACATTAGTAGGGAGCTGAATGGGAAGTGGAGTGGCTGGGTCTCAAACCGGTGCCCATATGGGATGCTAGTGTCACAGGTGAAAGCTTTACCCGCTGCGCCTCAGCGCCGGCCCCGGGGCCTCACTTTTCTACCAGCTTAGCAGTGTGGGGTGAGGAAGAGGACAGTGAAGTTGACAAAGGATTCAGCAAAGGCCAGCCTCAAGCCCCCAGTCTCAGCTCTGTGCTCAGCGGGCTGGCCGGCTCCCACACCCCTCCCTCTCTGCGTGGTGTTCCCCGGGGAGGCGCTGGGCATCGGGAAGCTGTGCCTGTTCTTGGGCTC